GCTATCCATATTTCCATTTCTCTCTTATTGTTATATTTCTCTTTCAGTTGATCATTCTCTCTCTCTCTCTCTCTCTCTCATCGTTGAGCCCTCACATTTTCGTTCTACTAGAAAGATAGCTAAAGAGCTTTCTATATTTACCTAGCTCGTTCCTCTCTCTCACTCTCTGTCTTGTTCTCCCTTTCGCTCATCCGCTTTCTCTGCTGCAATTAGCACACCTCCACACCCGTATCCACATGAATTTCTCAGCAATTTGCATGCCCGTGAGTCCAGCTGGGTAACTTGAACTTGTAGGTACTTGTACAGACCAAATACCTGAATGCCGGCCACAACTTGCGCATACTTAACGCACTCAAGTGACAATAATTGAATTCATTATGGGCAAAAAACGATTGTGACAATAGCGAACCAGTTGGATAGTTGGTTATTAGCTGATATGCTGGCTAGAGGATTAACAATGGCGGGTTAATTAACCTGATGGTTACGTTGGCCTTGGAGCACCAGCAGCCGACAATAGATAGCTAGTGTGTGTGAGAGAGAGAGAGAAAGAGAGAGCGCGCGCGTGTGTGGGAGAGAGAGACATGCTTACGTGGTTTTAAGTATTATTCGGTATAGTTTAAGTTCTGCTACCATTTTTATTTTGGGTACGTGTGAGTTTTTTCATATGAGTTTAGCCCCTAGTACTCGTATCTCCCCCTCCAGTGCTAACGCACTCTAAACTCTGATTTTGTAGTGGGGCCATAAAATGTTGTTATATTGACATGATCTTCGCGTATGTTGTTGCCGCTTCGAACGCGTCTTGCAAAAATCTTTATCAACCGGGGGTCAACAAACCCCCTCGATGAGCACCGTCGTGTGCCMGGTTGCTGTTGCTGTTGCTGGCCTGCTTGCCTGCCAGCCGGCCTACCTTTGGTTTATCAGATAATGTGACCAAATACAACGGCGACAGCGACTACGTTGATGACATTGTCGTCTCTGACTCAAGACCCCATAAAACATGACGCCAACTTAACGGTATTATTGTCATTATGATGCCAGTTGAACATTTTGATTTGAAAAACTTTAGATGAGCGAACAAAAATTTGAAAATTTGTTTGGGATTTTAGGGAATTATTCCAAAATATAGAATCTTTGCTTATTTGAATGATATTTGAATTGTAGCATAATATATGTTTAAATTAAATTMTCAATTATATTTACTTTCTATTTTACATATAATTTGTTCATGAAAATATATTTAATATTTATAGTAGAATACTTTAGCTGAATTTTATTCTAGAACTATTTGCATTCATTATATTTACTATAACATTTCTTAGAATCTTTTGTTTCTTCTTTTTGTTCAATTATTATCTTTACTTTATATTTTTATATATTTCCTGGCCTATATTCAATTTCGATTTATATTCCCTATTCTTTTCTCTTCCATTCTGTATTACAACAACAAATTTTTGCTTTATTTCTTTATTATTACTTTAGATATCTTAATATCACATAGCATACTTTTAAGAGTGTTTATCTTTGCTCTTTAAAATGATTGAAATTAAGGAAAAGCTATGTAACTCGATGAAAATCATATAATATGGAAATAGTATTTGAGGCAATGAAAAAAAAAAAGTTATGCGTTTTGTATAGTTCTAAGTTCTAAATGAGGGTAAGAAATTCTATTATATTATTTTCTTAACACCAAAAACACTCACCATGTAAACAATGTGGGGGCTAGAATAAATATGCCCAACAATTAAATTGCGTTTGCTGCACGTTAATTTGCAGTATATAAAATGTTGCATCGACTCGATGCATTTATGACTCAAGCAAAATAATAATAAATGAATATTTCCATGAGTGGAGCGCGTCACAGATAACAAACGGAACGCCAGAAGCACAACAGAACTGAACACTCGAAATAGAGCAATAAAAATAAACAAACACGTGCGAAATGCGCTCACGGAAGAGTCCACCGGTTGGCTAAGGCTGGCTGGGAGGAAGGCAGGCAGGAAGGCAGACCGGGAATATGCACTATGGTAAGACGTACTAAATGAAAATTGCGCGCTAGGACAACCTAACCAGAGGCGGCCAAAACTGCACTGAATGCGCCAGCACTGGCCCCGACTCCCGAACTCCGAGTAACACATAGAAGACGGAGACGTTGACGTAGACGTAGACACAGAGACAGAGACAGAGACCGAGCTAGAGATTCTCATACGCCGAGTGCTAAAGAGAAAGAGAGAGAGAGAGCGCGAGCTGTCCGGAATCGGAATCATCGGAGCAACGAGCGATTCGCATACATAAATAATAAATATTCACTTACATATCTAAAACAAAATTAAAATAAAAACACATATACATACATACATACATACATATGCATGTATTTGTATATAACTGTAAAAAACATAAAGCGAAGCAACCGAAAACTTGGCTAAACAAAGTGCATAAACAAAAGTTGAGCTGCGGCTTTTGCTTTTCTCTTCTCTGTATTTATTTTAACTCTTCTTTGGCGTTGTTCTTCGTCTTCGTTGTTGTTATTGTTGTATTTTGCATTTGAAGAAAATTTGCTGACAATTGCAATAGAATTTTTGTTTTTATTTTCGTTTGTTCTGTGCTTTATTTAGTTCTCTCTTTTCACGCCTTACTGTTGCAACGCCAGCCAAAGGCGACGAAGGAGGAGGAGGAGGAGGAGGCAGCGAAGCCAGAGGCAGAGGCAGAGGCAGCGGCAGCAGGCAGAGACGCTGCAGCTGAAGGCGGCATGTGGGTCTTATTTCAATTTACAACCAAGTGACGAAGTATCACAATTCAATGTTTAAAGTTTTTATCACGTTGTGGACGGACGCCAGCGCCACACACATACGAGCAAATAAGAGCACTACAAATCGGTGTAAGCTGAACTTGCAAATACCCTGTGTTTGGTTATATACATAATAATAATATAATATGTATTCAGCATTATATTCCGTCTTTACGTTAGCCGGATGGGCTTAAAGGTATATAAATAATAATAATGATATATAAATAACATTAATTTTTAAAATTAAAATCGCACAAATATAATACAATTTTAAACATTTTAATAAACAAGTCGTTAAAAAAGTATTAGTAGTATTTCCAAAGTTAATTATATTTTAAATAATGGCCCATATATTATTGCACTAAAGCAATGCCTTTATTTTATATCACAGGGTATTACGAGCAAATGGAGCGTCTAGCGGTTTGGGTGCTAGCATTGAGGCATATGCAAAAAACGTCGCATGTGCATCTGTGTGTGTATGTGTATGTGTAAGCTTCTGTGAACGGGACTGGGCTGACACAGTATGGTTAATATGGCGCGACAGTCCCTCGCCGGGTCGTTCGCTTAGTCAGCCCGCTCCGGCACTAACTATTTAGTAAGCAACTGAAATAGTAGCACCCGTGTTAGTATCAGTTCATGAAATGACAAACAACAAAAAAAAAAAAAAAGAACAGAAAACAGCGCACACCATATTAGCACACACACACACACACATGCATATAAACAGCGTATGTATGTAAGTAGAGTGACTTGGATACATTGGTTGCATTTGAACACGAGTATGTCTATGAGTGTGAGAGCGTAAGTATGGTTGTGTGTGTGTGTGGCTCTGAGAATGGGCATGCAAGAATCACAGAACAACGTCAGCGTAAACTGATTACCCCCCTTCGATCTTTGGAGCACGTACACAACGTTCACTTGCGATTGGCTATTTTTGTTGTTGTCGATTTTTTGTTTTTGGTTGTCGTCTATGGGAACCTTCGGCACGGGAGTTTGGTTTACAACGTTACACTTCGAAACGAGTCATTTGGCGGGTAGTAACTGCCAAACTAAAGGGTGATGCATGCCCAGCTCATCTAATTTATGTAATGCAGTATATAGGAAGTCATAGTTGAGCTTTGAATTACAATTGCACAATAGTGAAATGACTTCTTTGATGACTTTGATTACATAGGTTTTTTTTTTGCAGTATTTTTTAGTCAATCTTGTCAATGATCGATTAATTATGGCAAATGGCAACTCTAACAAACAAAACTGTCAGACAAGACAGAAGGACCCAATGCGAGCATTTAAGATTATTATAACTTGCACTTTCTGGCAACTCTGACTCCCTCATACACCCACTTCCAGCTGCAAGTAACTATAAATTGTTGTCTAGCACACAACAAGCGCATTACACATATGCATATAACATCATACAAATGCAGACGCAACGCACACGCATACATCTACAGAAACATAAAAATAAAAAAAAAAAATCCAAAATAAAAACAACACACAACATGCAGTACATATGTATGCATACATACAAAAAAACATACACGACTATAAATTTTTGCACGAAAATGAACACGTGCTGCTCCAATAAGAAAAAAAAGCGCGCGAGGTTGCCTGCAGGCACAGCCGGCTGCCAGCGTGTGGATCACGGGACAGCGGCAGAGCGGGGTGGGCAAGGCAAGTGTGCGTTATGCTTGCATACCAAGCGCAACAATAACAAATGGCAACGTGAGAGCTGCTTTGCGGCTGACTCATGCTTGGCAATGCAATTGAAAAAAAACTGCCGCTCTTTTGGGCTAAGAGCGAGTAGGTTGTAAAGAAAGAGACAGGTTAACCAATAAGAGCGAGTAGCAGACCAATTCTGTTCCATTGAGCAGCAGTTGGAGGTCGGCAAAAAAACGCTGCGGTGCCTGCCGACTGCAGCTGCAATGCGGGCTATTTGGTCTGAAACTAAAAAAACCTCTGCTAACTTTGAGCAAAAACTTTTGATACGAGTACCTGCCACTAACTAAGCACAATTCTATACACGCACATTAGGCAAAAAGTTGGCACACGAAACCACCACGCATAGAAATTGAACTATGAAAATCCAAAAACTTTGCAGACAGAAATTTCTAGGAAACTGCACTCGAATAAAACAAACGCTCACACTTACCGCACCGCTTGCCATTTGGTTGTAGTACGTTGATGTTTGTAGTTGTTATTAAAGTTGTACTAATCACAAACCACTCTAATTTCTCACGAAACGTTACAAATTTTGCACACACCAAATTACACACTAAAACACTAAAAATATTACAATAACAATGGTCCATAACCAAAAGTTTCAAAACAGCTGTAAATTTGGGCGCGCAAAAGCACAGGGCTGTTATGACAAACAGCTGGTACGACCAATTTATCGATAGTGCGTGAAAAGAAACGTTTATAATTTAAACATCGTTGACATTCTTCTCCTCTGTGACGGGGGTTTTATGTGAGCTTTCTTCTTTATGTTGGCTGAGAGCAATTTGAACCAACGATAGCGGCTAACATAGCGCTCAAATGACTTGCTTATAAAATATAATTTAAGTCGGCGCCTGCTGCGCACCTTCTCATTATCCTTGTCCCTAACTGTTCTGCGATTGAAAACCATGTCCAGGGCAAAGGAACAATGCAGATAATAGAGGCCAACAGCGAACCAGGCCCAAGTGGCGTTGCTTTTGCAACAGACGAGAAAGGCATATTTTTCCTGCTCCTGTTCCCTAAGAAAAGACATCAGCTGATTATGTTCAAGCAAATACATGTGCACGTAGACGGTTATCATATTCAACGTGCCCATTGTGCCGCTCATCAAGGCCTCGACACGGTGCGCGACTCGTTCGTAGAATAGAGATCCTACCAATCCGGCCACGCCCAAAAGGACGCCACTAGCATAAGTAGCGCACAATATAAAAACGTTGGGAATCTCATGCTCCAAGTAGCAGAATAGGTGTCTGTAGCAGCAAGCCGAGCTTAGAAAGATTTCCAATATCTTGAATAGCGCCCACACGGGCTTCTTGGAGCGATTATGCATTATTTTTCAGATTTATATATTTGTATCTTTATAAATACATAGACATATAGTATATGTACATATATTGTTATATAGTACACAGTTGACTGTAGATAAGGCGCTTATACCTTGCCTACTGTGATTACTTACTGTACTAAAATAAACTTAAAACAAGTTAAATTATTAAAATTATAAATATTTACTTCCGCCAGTATTGCGTTATCCGATGAATCTGCTCGACCAGCGCAGGCATCACAGCTGTTATGGATATGTCCAGCAGACTCTGCAAGTGCTGGACCGCCTCCTCGTCGGAGAGGCCCAGCTGCAGGTTCTCCTCCACTTTCTTGACGGCCTTGTCCGGCTCCAGGGCAATATCGGGCACTGTGGCATCCACCATGAGCGAGAACAGATTAAGCATCACATTGGCATGCCGGCGCAAATGCAAATACGCCGTATAGCACTGCTTGCGGAATTCGTGATAGTGATCCGAGCTGACACCGCCCATGGCTTCGACCATTTCTTTGCTCAGCTTCATGGGTGGTGGCATGGGCTTCGGATCGCGTCCAAGAATATAGCCAAAATCGATATGGAACAGCTTGCCATTGCTGGTTAGCAGCAGATTGTCCAAATGTCGATCGCCCACGCCCAGCAAATATGTGATGACACAGTAGCCCGCACAGCTCTTAATGTATGTGTCCATGACCTCGGAGGAGATGCCAAACGGGCCGCTATCGCAGGGATTGTGGCGCTTGAAGAAGTTAAGTATGTTGCCCTCACGGGCGAGCACCTCGGCCACGGTGCACGAGTCGATGTACTGAAGGAAGCCATGCTTGGAGCTGGTTGCCAGCACTTTATACGGCGTCAGTTTGAGATCAAGATTCTCTCGCCGTAACAGCTTGTCCATCAGCGTAATCATTTGCAGTATGAGCTGATCCTGGCGCAAATCATCGCCATGCTTAAAAATGGCCACATACTCGTGCTTAGCAATGGACGTAACAAACGTGAGTCTGTAACCAGGAAATGATTAGCATTTAGCAACTAGATCTATGAGCTGAATCCACTTACTTGGCTGGCATCAAGGCGCTCTTGAACAAGGATGTGCGCGTTGGTATTATTTTGGTTATATAGATCTCGGGGTCCAGGGGGAATGGGATTGGCTCAAAATTGGTAAAGTTCACCTTGAACATGACCTGATCGGCGAGCAGTTTTTGAAACTTTTCCGTTTTCTTGTTGCGATTGCCTGGCTCCTTGGCCACCAGCTTCACCAGCTTGACCAGCTCGTCGATGAAGCACTGCTGCTTGCGAAGATTGTGGGAAATGCCGCGCAAGTGGAAGTTACCTATATGCGAGATATGGAGAGGGAACAATAAAGAGGGCTACAAATTGACAGCAAATCTACGCACCGTTATCCAGCACCTTGAGGAATATGTTATAGACCATGGCATACATGTCGTGCGCGCGCTGATCCTGTTTACGCACCGACTCGACATCCTCCACCTCGATGGACAGATACCAGTACAAGTAGTTGGCCAGCGTGGCATTCTTGCAGGCGCGCTGTATGAGGAATGTGCACAGATTAACGGGCACGCCCTGACCCAGAAGCGTTGTGTTTGAATTGGATTGTGAGGCCATCGAGGCGGCGCTTACTTCGCCGCCATCGGCCCGGTCCATCCGCAGTGCCGGCGTGCTGGCCCTGATCGCCTGTGCGCTGGCACTGCTCGCCAACGTCGATTTTTCCACCTTGAGAGCTGTGAGCGCAGCACGCTGATTGGCGGGTATTACCGAAGCATGCAGAGCGCTGCTCGCTGCGCTCAGGTCGGAGATGCTGCTCTGGTCCAGCAGAGAGTCGCTCTCGTCCAGCAGCGAACAGCCCGCATCGCGCTCTGGCTCTGGTATGATGAGCTTGTGCAGCTGTAATACATTGCGTGGATCCTCATATTTGAGCGCCTGCACGAGCTGCAGCAAATAGAGCAAGAGATCCTCGTCGGGTGCCTGCGCCAGCCGACTGATCGCATACTTGCGGACCTCCGGGTGTGTAAACGTTGGACTGAGCAGCTCCAGCGCATCCTCCACATCCATGGGCGCCCAATTGGCCAGCATCCATAGAGCCTGAGTCACCTCATCGCTCATTTTCCAATTGATGCACTTCAGAAACTTTGTGAGCGCCTTTTTGTGCGTGGACAAATAGAAACGGAACTTCCACACCAAGTCCTGCTCCTCGCTGCTCAGCACATACGTCGGTGGATAGCAAACTATTTTGTGCAATTGATCACGAATGCTGGAGGTAGAATATATGGTATGTAATATTGGATTTGGAATACTCAATAGAATTTCATTAATGCATACATTGTGGTCGGCTTGGCATCCCGATCTGAAATACCAGAGCGCTCCGAACGAGCCAGACGATGATGTTTGCGCTCAACTAGATTTTCCTGCAATAAGAAAACTTTGAGTCAAATACTAAAAATAGCTTCGATATACTTACCATTTGAATCTCCGAATCCGGGACCAGAACTAACTTAGGTTTGGCTGGCAATTTATATTTGCTATCCACTTCTGGCTCAAAGTAGACAACTGAATACTACAAAATATAAAAAGACATTATTATATATTCTTATAGTACTTAAATAATATCCCTTACGGTGTACATATCATCCACGATAATTGTGGGAAACTCGATCATGAGGAACATGTAGTCGGACATGCGCTTCTCGCGCTCGTTAATCACTTCGATTTCACGGAATGTCAAACGATCCAGCCAGTCGACCTTCTGCACCTGGCCGTTGCGATGCTTTTTGGCCAACTTGCCAAGGCGCTGCATCTGCGATTTGGAGGATTCCTTGCCCTTGCCAGGGGTTTTGCTGGGAAAGTTGCCGTCACCCTCAACGCCCAACCAAACACGCAGATCGTACATGCCCTGACGGAACATGCCGTCCTTGCCAAACATGGAAATAGCAGTACCGCCAATCACCGTGGTCTGGCCAGCACCGGAGCAGTCGAGTATGGTCAGCACCAGCATGGCGCCCCGTGGCAAATCGGAGAATAACAATGGCAATGTCACCCACTCATTCCAGCTCCAGCGTTTGCTGAAGGCCTTGTATGAATTGTGCACAGGCAGGCAATAGGGATGTCCATCATTGTAAACTTGTAGTCGCACTTGGAACGAGGGGTATTCCTCCGAATAGAGGCCCGAGAAACGGAGTATGGGATCATCGAGCAATTTTTCGTAATCAGGCTGGCGTTTCTTGCCTTCGAGTGTGCCACTGTGAGAAAGAACATATTTTATTTAAAATCATTGGGTGTAGAGTGATAACTAACACTTTAATTTGGACACGTTCGTGTAGTGAGGAACTGTGTATATAGCGAAAATGATCATCAGGCTGATCCATTGCGACTATTTTTATTTTTCATCCACAAGCAGCTGCTTGATGACGAACCTATCAGCAAACAGCTGATTGAAATGCAAGTCTATCGATAATCTGCTTTTGTTGTGCTTATCGAAATGTTAAGTTAACAGAAGCACGCATTCTTAACAGAAGAAGAAGCAGAGCAGGCGCGAACACATTGGAACTGGAGGAACGAGGAAAGATTAAGCGCCTTCGTAAAGATGTCAACAAATGCAATGATAGACCTGGCGCTGGACCGCGTTGATTGGACTGCATTGGCCGATAACCAAGAGCAACTGCCTCGTATTTATACGCCTGGCGAGGTGCTGATGCCGGAAGCAGGCTTTATGCGCGGCCATGGCACCTTCGTGGAAGACGAAAACATAAAAGCCTCAGTGGCAGGTGTGATTGAGAAGGTGAACAAATTGATATCAGTCCGACCGCTTAAGAGTCGATATGTGGGCGAGATCGGCGATGTGGTAGTTGCACGTGTACTCGAAGTGGGTCAAAAACGTTGGCGAGTCGACACAAATTCACGTTTGGACTCATTGCTGCTGCTTTCTTCAGTAAATCTACCAGGCGGCGAGCTAAGGCGGAGGTCGGCAGAGGATGAACAAATGATGAGACGTTATCTGGACGAAGGGGATTTGATATCCGCAGAAGTGCAGGTCAGTAAGACGAAAGTAAATAAAATCTATATTTGACTTATTAAGTGTTTTGCAGAACGTCTTTGAGGAGGGCACATTGTCGCTATACACCCGCAGCTTAAAATATGGCAAACTTTCCCAGGGCATACTGGTCAAGGTTTTCCCAGCGCTTGTCAAACGGCGAAAGATGCATTTTCATAATCTGCCATGTGGTGCGTCCGTCATTCTTGGCAACAATGGCTACATCTGGATATCGCCCACAAAGACCGACGATCAGGTCGGCGGCGAGGGTGGCTTCGCCCAGAACTTGACGGAAGTGGTGCCACGCAACGAACGCGAGGTTATAGCACGCCTGCGCAACTGCATCCTGGCACTGGCCAAGTGTAAACTGATGTTATACGATACAAGCATTCAATACGCCTACGAGGAGTCGCTGAAATACGAATCCCGTGAGCTACTCCAGCAGCATGTAATCTTCGATATTGGCGAGCAGACGCAGGCTCGGCTCAGAGATGTAGATCTCATGGATTGATGCAAGGGCCAAAATAAAATATATTACTTAATCGATTTTTGTATTATTATTGCAAATTGCTGTCAGTCTGGCTCTGAGAGAAGTCCTTGGAGTTCGTATAGGTAGCCTGTTTTTCTAACCGACATACACATGTATATCGAGTGAATCAGCCGTTCAACCTCGTACAGAATGCATCTTGTATACCTTAATTATCAAGCTACCTGACTTGGCATATGGCTACCTGAGCTAATGGCATATACTTTCAAAGAATAATAGAAAACCGTCTGAATTGCCTGGAAAAAACTATCCAATTGAGTCAACTGAATTTTGTATATTTACTAAGTGAATAAAGATTGTTTGTCTCACTTTTATATTAATCAATTATTTATTGTAAAGCAAAAAATTGTCTATGATAGTTACAAATTTTTGTCAAGTCTCTAATCGATTATTTGACGCTTTACAGTTCTCTATAAAAAATATTTCATTTTCAGACCTGCATAACACCACGAATATGTGGTCAAAACAAAAATGATTTGTTTACTATGAATATTTAGTGTATTTGCCCTGCACCTATGTAGCAACGCTTTGTTGTAGCCGTCTGGCAGCGCCAATAAAAATGGCCTCCTTGCGTCAAAGGTGGCAGCTCTCTTCGAGGTTCGTGTATTGATGCAAGGCATTGTGTTTGTAATTTTTTTCTTATTTTTTTTGTTAATTTACAACAAAATAATTATAATCAACTACCTTGAGCGTGATTTAATTGCTACGTAAAGACAAAGACTATACAAATTTCGAGATGGCTGACATTGGCGTTGTGCGCGAAACTGAATTACGCAAAAAGGAAATATGCCGCTTCTGTCTGGTGCAACAAAGCAAACTTGCCTCAATTTACGTTGAAAACACACGCGTAAAGTCAACCGCGTCGCTGCCGCTGCAAATAATGGCCATAACATCTATAGAGGTAAGTCGCGATTTGGTTCTAGGTTACACTAAGCCATCATCTCTATTTGGCTGAACAATCAAAGAACTTAGCTAAGATGTTTGTCATCGCTGGTTGGTTTCTAAATAGCTGCGTTGGCGTCTTCGCTAACCTATTTGGCGGGCTTTTACATACAACATTTCGCGACAGCCAAGACAACCGTATTAGAAATGTTTTTATTTGTGAAAGAACGCGATAATGGGATAAACAAATCGCTCAAGTATAATATTTACCATTTTACCAATATGGCGACAACTGTACAAAAATTCACATACACAAATGCAGCTTGGCGCAATGCTGCCAGATCGCTGCTCAACTGGAGGGAACATTTAAAAATATAATTTAATTATACTTCAGTTTTCGTCTTTCATTTTATTTATGTTTGCATATCAAATATATACGTTTCTTGGTTCGCTTATCTATTCATATGTTTGTGTTGCTTAATCTATAAATATGATTCTGAAAATAATGGAAGATGGCATGGTTCTACCCAATAATTGCAACTTAATCTTAATTGGAATTTGTTGTGTAAGTCAATCAGCGGCGGTTGTTAGCCGGCCTGGCTGTAAGGGGGTTTGTCATTAAAGCGCAAAATGCGCGTCAACATTGACGTCACACATGGAATTTGCTTCTGACGATCCATCAACGGATTCGATGGCACGTTCGATTCGTAATCCACCGCCACACGTTGGCTAACAAAAGTCAGCAATGTGAGCATATTGTACTCCTTGCCATTTTCATTGAGCTCCTTTATGAGCGACTGTATGTACCATGAGCCGTTATCAGTGTTGCGCCACGAAAAGTATCCTGCAGCATAAAAGATTTGGCTATAGCAGCGTAACAATCTAATAATAATGATGATATAAATTACCTGGTATTGTTGAATATGAGAATAGAAAGTCGGCATGTGTAGGTATTTTGTAGCTCGTCGAGGAATCGCCATCCGTTTCAGTTTCCTTCACCATGGTCGTGCCCGGATCCAGTTTATCACCCTGACAGGCCTGTATGAAGAATAACTTCGGCTTTCCAGCTAGCGTGGGGCAATTGTTGGCGGTAAAATAGGTCCAGATGCTGTCCAGCCTGTACTGCACATCTTTGGCATAGAGGTGACCGTGCTCGCCATGGGACATCACCGCAATCACTATGCAATCGTTGTCAGTGTGATCCTTTGCAGCGGCCTTGCTCACAACATTGAGAATCTCGCTCAGGATGCAATCCTTGTGGACACTCACCTCGAAACCTAGACGTTCCAAGGCCTTGGTTAGCTGTTCGCTGTCCACATTGGTGCCGCGACGCGTTGACAGATAGGGTATAGTGAAATGTTCGTGATTGAAGATGAGGGCCTGTCCCCGGTGCTTATGATTCATATTATATTCCTTGGCGTATCGGTCGGTGGTCATACGAGCGACATATTTATTTATTGGGCTGATTCAACCAAAAGATAAAACAAATTCGTACTATCAGCAATTCGCTCATTATTATACATATAGAACTGTGATAGCCCATTAACAAATCTCACAATAAAGTACAGGAAACGGAGTGACTATTATCAATGCATACACAAGAGCACATGTATAACTTGCAGAACACTCTGCAAATTATATTTTATATAAGACTCGATTAAAGTCGATTGCTTATCAAAGCTTTGAAAACTCGTTTTTATAAAGATATACATATTACAAATTTCATGTTGTTGCCCAAATAGCGTAAGAGCTACGTGACTTACAAATACATATGTATATCTCAACACGATCATTACACCCTTTTCAGCATACACGGCTTAGGGTATATACATGCATATGTATGTACATATATAAAAAAAAAAACACTTACGCTGCGACGGCATTGGCTGCACCACCGCTTCGCACAGAATTTGTGCTGGCTTCTCCTTTTGCGTCGATGGTATCAGCATTGTTGTTTATTTTGCCGCTGTCAAGGTCGAGAGAGCCAAAGGATCTAATTTTCCATTCGTCCGTCATTTTACTTGTTGTTGTTCCTCTTCGATTATTTCGTTCTTTCTTCTCTATCCCTGCACTCGCGCTTGTGTGCGTTTCTCCTTGTTGTGTTGCTTTTGTTCTGCTTATTCAATTGTTGCGCCCTTTCCACTAGCCGAGTACTTTATATATAAATGTGTGTGTGTTTGCTTGCACTGATTTAAGATTAGTTTTTGCACTGTAAACAGCTGTTCTTATTACGTTTGCCACGTGACCAACAGTTATAATTTGTATTTTATTAAGAATAACATAAATATCCTTTTATGGTTAACCGCGTTTAATCAATCAATTAATAAATGCGGCGTAGAGCGAACTCTGCACTCACGAAAACAAATCGTGCGAGTGCACTTGTAGTTGTGCAGCGCTTGCCGCCAACTGCATAAGACGTTGCCACCTTTGCCGCTGGAGTGGTCAGAGCGCATGCGCGGTGCTGCCACTTGAATATGTTTTACCATTCACATGTAAACGCATTTATTTATTTATTGTTTTTAAATAAACAGGTCCAGAGCAATGATGGAATGCCCAGCTATATTTGTTTGGACTGTCGTCTGCTTTTCGAGCACTGCTACCGCTTCAAGCAGATGTGTAAAAATGCGGACACTCTACTGCGACAATATCCGCTAACAGGCAAATGGCCTGAGCCACTGGAGAAGCCGCGTGCTCCATTGATAGCCAATCAAATGGTTGCAGCTAAGAAGGACTCTGCAGAAATGCAACCCAAAAAGCTTCTCAACTCTATGGCCAAATCTAATAATGTCCAGATTGAAAGCGTGCAGGTATTGGAAACCAGCTGTCTCACCAAGAAGCTGCTCAACTCGGGTGCAGTGAGCTCTGCTGAGCCACCGATTCCTCCAAGAGCATCTCCGGCAAAACGCGCACAGGCGAAGTCATATGAAGTGAAAGTAGAGAACAATCAGGAGCTTTCTATGGACGATGTGCACAATCTACTGGCCGATATGGCTGACGAACTAGATCTGAGCGACGTAACGCCTGCTCCTGCGACGCCTTCGGCTAAGAAGCCAAAGGTGCTCAACAAATCGTCGATGCGACTGCTTAACAAAGGTGCCACCACACCATCCGAGCCTCGCCTGGCCACGCCACAAATAAAGCACTACGAGGATGGCAACGTGGCGCTTGTTACGGAAATACTAGATGCGGATGCAATCGAATCAAATGATCCGGCTACAGATCCGATCAAAAATGCAGCGCCCGTAGCGACAAACGTCTTTCCATGTCCGCACTGTGATCGCTCGTTTCCATTGATGCAGCTGCTCGACATACATGTTGTCAATCATTCTCGCACACGCAGCTTCCAGTGTCCCGAGTGTGACAAGAGCTTCTTCTCCAAATACGATCTGCAGAAGCACAACTTTATACACACAGGCGAGCGTCCATACAAGTGCAGCGTCTGTGAGAAGGCCTTCACTCGTCGTGCCCTGCTGCATCGGCACGAGCGCACCCACACCGAGGTGCCCAAGTTCATATGTGTTTACTGCGAGAAGCCGTTCATCTCACGCAAAGAGATGGAGAAGCATGCAGAGCGCCACACCAAGAAGAGACCGTTCCAGTGTGGTGTGTGTCAAAAGGCGTTCGCTTTTAAGCAGGGCCTGGAACGACACGAAGTGAGTGCAAATTGAGAGTCGTCTTTATGTATGTGTGTGTGATACATCTTTATGTTTCTCTTCAGGTCATTCATAGCACTAATCTGCCGTTCCCGTGCCAGTACTGCAGTCGGAGCTTTGTGACCGCTGGCAAGCTGGCGCGTCATCTGGTTGCGCATGCCGGCAAGCGTGTTTATCCATGCAAGTATTGTAACAAGTCGTACCTGCTGTCGCACCACCTGTCGCGGCATCTGCGCATGCACAAGCAGGCCGTGGTGGCCTCATTTACGTGCAGCATTTGCAAGGACACGCATCCCACTTACGACAGTCTTGTGGAGCACTCGGCCATCCATGCCAGCATCTCGTTGGTCTGTCCGCTGTGCCAGGCGAACATTGCAGACTTCGATAGCCTGGAGCCGCACATGCAGGCGCACAAGAAGAGCGAACGACACGCCTGCGAGTTTTGCGATTTAATATTCATGACCTCAGGCCAGTTGCAGAAACACATCGAGGACGATCACGTGGTGGACATGGTGCCCTATCAGAATGAAAACGAATATGAGCAGGGAGCCAGCAAAGAAGATGCCGAGGAGGAGTCCGAATTAATGGCAGAGCTATTGGGCGAGGAGTCGCAGACAGCTTCAAATGAATCCGTGACGCCACCGCAGTCAAAAATACGTAAACTCAATCCGAGTTCCAAGTCAGCGGATACCGAGAAAACCAAACAAGAGCCAACGTCAAAGAACATCAAAGACGAGCCGTCTTCGCCAGAGGTACTAAAAAGATCTCGCACATCAAAGTCACCCGCAGCTGCGTCCGTTTCGCCGGAAAACAAACGTCAGACGCGCCGGCAAGAGGCCAAAGAAAAAAATGTGAAACCAAGCGACTCGGGCAAAAGATTGACTAAGAAAGTTGCCGTAAGTCCGGAAAAACCGGGCTCCAAGCAAAAAAATGCAAAAGGCACAAGTTCAAAGCAACAGAGCTCCAAGTAGATTCGACCCGGATTCTATTGCTCTAAGAAACCGACGACAGCGACGTTTATAAACCCAGACTTGGTTGAAGCATAAGAATTATATTTTACATTTGGCGAATGTATAAATGGATTAATCACGAGTCATTTTCAATTTTTTTAAAAACAAGTTACGCATTTTTTAAAATTTACATCTAGTTTTGTTTATGTCCAGCTCGGATTCTCATATTTGAATAGTGAAGAGAAGTGGATGAAAATTGTACACAAAGAACGTAGTAACAAATAAATATTTAACTAAAAAAAAAAATTAGCAAGAGAGTCTGTCTACCCATTTATCATTCTATGAGACTATTTAGGCAATGCCTGGAAATCTATTTGAGATGATGCCTTAGCAAACCATTCTTGGGTCTTCTTATCCAGTTTGTCACTCTTTATTTAGTTAAGTTTATCGGGAGTGTTTGTGTGTATTTCCACATTAATTACAGCTAACAATATGTTTAAATACATCGAGTGTTATTTATTATAGCAGATATGGCAGATTACCAAGAGCTGCGACACCTTTACAAAGAGTGGTATAACCGCTTAGTGTTCATAACCATCGGGCAGAGCGTTGACATGGGGGTTGTGGAACAGGCTCTTGTTGCCCTCGCCCCAGGGGAAACGCTTCTCACGGCGACGCAGGTACTCGTACTTGACGAATTCCGGACGGGGGTGGTCGTGCTCCTCCTGGTGCTTCAGGTAGGCGTTCAGCATGCACAGACCAACTGCTGGCATGGCCACGAAGAAAGACAGACGCTTCCAGACCTTGTAGCCACCTGCCAAGAGATCAGATAATTAAGCAAATGTTCTCAACGATATTTTTTTAATGTTTTGGTGGAAACAACAAATTATATAACCTTAACCTATGAGGGAGGATATTATCGATTGTGGACATAGTTACCAGAATGTTCTCCAGCTACGGCGGCAGTGCCGGACATGTTTCTGGCGGCAATAACGCCAATTTGGCGACGAATCGCGTTGTTCAACACAAACGACATATTTACGTTGTAATTTATGTGCCTTATGTGATTTATAAATGAAAATTCACTCTTCTTCTTTTCTTTGACAGTCAGCTCTGTTCGTACGCCTGTTAAATTAACAGTCTGCCGTTCTGTTATTAACAGAAAGTATCAGCTGTCATCATTAAATTTTCAATGCTGCAAATATATAAATTAAAGATTTTAATTATTGAAAAGAAATATGTTAAAGGAGACTGAAATTAAGTTAATAGCTGAAAGCTGTTTGAAACAGAAGATAACAATAATTATTTTCTTAGGTGATATCGATATCATTTCAAAAAAAGAAGAAAAATACCAAAAATACCAGAGTCTTGGCTATTTTTAATACCATTTTTTTTTCAAATATAACGGCTTTGCTATGCCAGCTATGCCCAATATTATGCAGCTCTTTTTGTTTTTAGGTGTAAAAGAAATTAAAACTAAATTTATTAAAAGAAAAAAATTATTTAAACTCTTAATCATACCACAAAAGATAACAATATAAATAATCCATGTGCATCGCGAGATCTTGACAAACATTGGAATGTACTTGTTTTATCACTTGAGAATCCCAGGGGATTTTCTAAGCTAAACATCAGATGTTAATATAGAGAAAATTTGACAGACAATTTCGTTTGCACTTGGATATAAAATTAAGTCGGCGATTTAGCGAGAGAGTTAAATATATTAATTATCTAGGCAAATAATAGATTCAAACTCATATTTTTAATTTGTCTATACTTTCTGCCTCGAAGATGATATCTAAGATTCATGATTTGCGGAGCAACTGCAAGTCTTTCACTGCTCAATATTTGATCACGTTCATGCTGAAATGCCAAAAGAGACAAAAACGTGTCCAAAAGTAATCTTATCTATATTTAATTTTATCCACAAATGTTTTGCGCCTCACACCCAGACAGTTCAGATTTGCTGGCAGACTGCTTCATTCTTCCTTGGACAAATTAAAGACAGCATATCAAGTCATATACGGCTAATAAAATTACGATGCCCAAAAAGCTGACAGATTTAAATGATAACTGAAATGAGGCTGCATAAACCGAGCTATTGAGTAATTTAGATTAGACTCGGGCAACTGTTTCTATAAATACGTGGGAATATGGAAAGTCTCGGTGTCAGTCGGTGAGCAACTCAAGCACAAGTATGGGGCATCTCTTTATTACTACTGCGCTGCTTAGTGTATTGGTGGCGACAGCCTGGTCGGCCATTACCTTCAATTGTAAGTGCTTAGTTTAGCTGGGGGAATTTTATGTTAAGAATCGAATTCTTTGGCAGTGAAGGAAGTCCACACGCAGGAGCAGCTGGTGGGGCAATCTAGGCCCTTACCTGCGGCTAGAGGTGGGAATATCATGGATCCCAATGCTCTGGCCAAGAACAAGTATACGCCACCGGAGGAGAAGGACGCTCAGTTCTGGTATGATATTGCCAATGAGGAGATTGCCAAACGTTTGGCCTTGCCGCAGGCCGACAAGAGGAAGGCCAAGAATTTAATTATGTTCCTTGGCGATGGAATGTCGTTAACAACAATCGCAGCTGCCAGAATTCTGAAGGGTCAACTGAAGGGCAACACTGGAGAGGAGGATGCCCTCAGCTTTGAGAAGTTCCCCTACACGGGATTGAGTCGGGTAAGCAGAGACCAAAACGGTTTGATCTCCACTTCCATTCTGATTGATATCTTCATGTCGGACAGACCTATTGCTCCAATGCTCAAGTGCCAGACTCTGCCTGCACTGCCACCGCCTATCTGTGTGGCGTCAAGACCAACATTGTCGCCCTGGGCATCACGGCCAACGTGAACTTCAACAATTGCAGCGGCAGTGAGGATCCCGCCAATCAAGTGAGCTCCATTGCCGCCTGGGCTCAGGCAGCGGGCAAGGGCAGTGGAATCGTGACAACGACAACTCTGACCCATGCCAGTCCCTCGGGCGCCTATGCACACTCCACCAATCGGTTCTTTGAGTCCGACACGGACATTGTTGCCTATGGCGAGGATCAGAACTTCCCCGAGTCCTGCACGGATATTGCCCAGCAGTTGATTACCAAGGAGCCGGGCAAGAATTTTGATGTGATGCTGGGCGGCGGCATGGGCAAATTTTTACCGAAATCTATCACGGATAAATTCGGCAATCAGGGTGAACGGTCTGATGGCGTCAATCTGCTATCCAGGTGGCAATCATTGCATCCGGATGGAGCTCTGGCCTACAATCGCAAACAGCTGCTGAGCGTGAATCCTAAGAACACGCCTCGATTGATTGGACTCTTCAATTCTGGTGTCATGGACTTCCACAAATTGGCCGATCCGGAAAAGCAGCCCACATTGGAGGAGATGACCAAAAAAGCCATCGAGGTGGTCAGCCAGAATCCCAATGGCTACTTTCTGTTCATCGAGGGTGGCCTCATCGACTACGGTAATCATTTCAATGTACCTCAGATGGGACTTGACGAGGTGCACGAGCTATCCAAGGCTGTCGAAACGGCGCTGGGCATGACAAATCCCAACGAAACTTTGATTGTGGTCACCTCGGATCATGCCCATCCGCTGTCCATCTCTGGCTATCCAGGTCGTGGTACAAATATTCTGGGGCTCAATCAGCACGATACCGATGTCAATGGCGTCAGGTATGCCACCTTGAATTATGCCGTCGGTACCAATCCGTATCTGGATGAGAATGGCAAGCGCGTGCCGCTCGAGGATAAAATCGATGATCCCTGTAAGTGCAGAAATTTGACTATGGGGAATACCTATTATTTATAATCTACTCTCATATTTAGCGTTCGTCTTTCCGAGTTATATAACTGGCAACATCGGCGTGCATTCCGGTGATGACGTTGGCGTCTTTGCCACCGGTCCTCAGAGTCATCTATTCTCTGGTGTTATGCAACAGCACACCATACCCCATCTCATGGCCTATGCCGGCTGCATTGGCAATGGACCCACTGTCTGCGATAACTGAACCACTGAAACTAGGAATGCTTACCTCTAAGTGGCTATGATTACATAACAGCAAATAACATAAACCCAACTAATGTTAATGTGCATGTTATGAAAATACTTTTTCTGCGTGGGGGTTTCCCTTCGTGGACTCCTTAATAATCAAATATATTGTGTATACCAAATTTTTTATTTTTATTTATATCCCTCTCTTATCTACAACAGTCAAGGTTGATGTACAGCTAATGTTAATACTAGTGTTAATGTTAATATAAATGTTATACAGTTCAAGCATGTGCATGTGTATGATATATTCATTGCGTATTCAAGTTGACAGCTGGCAAAACGATTTCTCCACTTTAATTAATTAGGAATGAAAAATAAATGAAACAGCATTGCTAAAATCAATAATTAAATTGACATTACCCGTTTTATTTATTGCATGGAAACTTATTTATGCGAATTCCTGTTCTCACATGAGATGCAAATTTTATATATACAATACATACATATATATTTTTTTCAACATAAAATTGATTTCAATTTAAAACGCATCAAACATACAAACATATTGCGAGTAAATATATATACATACATAAATATATGGAAAGTTTGGGATAATTGTGCGTGCTGAATACCCTGTAATATTCTATACCACCTTACGAAGGGCATGCACATATTAGACTTCAAAGAAATGGAAACATGATTGTATCTTGGGTTAGGTTGAGCTACTGTCATGCTAATTTATTTCGATATACTTTTCATTTAGTTTTCTTAAATTTAATGAGTATCTCTTAGTCTAGCTTTGCTTTGCTGCCTGCATTCACATTTGTTTCAATTGCCGCCTGACGAACGACATCGATTTGGTATCACTTGGACTTGGAGTGCTAACACTTAATGCATGTAAGTGTGTGTGTGTGTGCGTGTGTGTGTGTGTTTGTAATATTTTCTGAATGTCAGGTTCAAGTATTGCCGTGCGTCAGTCATGCACAAATGTATCTGTTAGCTTGCAACGGGCAAGTGGCACCCACACAGGCATTTAGAGCAGCAGCTGTCTCGCTCACTCATTGACTTTGACTTGTAATTGTGTTCATTGTTGGCTGCCTTTTTAAATGTTTTTTTTTTTTTTTTTTGGTGTTTATTTTGTTGCTGTTTTAAACGCGTTTTTGACACAAATGACTGCGAAACAGTTTGTCGAGACAATAAACATCAATTTTTTGTTTGCACTCGCATGCATAAAGAGTTTGCAATTAAGGATTCCAAGGCTGGGTCCTTGCGGTTCACATTGCGTCATCTCAGTCTCTGCAGCCTCTGCAGCTTTGTTTTCTCTGTCTGCTGCTGCTGCTGCTGCCCAATTCTGAGTCCATATTGAGCTCAGTTCAGACTTCATTTTATTATGATTGTTTGTTTGTCTTGTTTGTTCGCCTGTTTATTTGCAAGCCGACTGCTTGGGGCGCGCGCGTTCTGCTCTAAACATTTCGTTTGCTCAGCGAAAAGTGGCAGCCGTTGACGCTGTCGCTGTCACCGCCTGCCTCTGCCTCTGCCTTTGCCGTTGCTGTTGTTGCTGCTGCTGCTGTTGCTGCAGTCGYCGTTAACAAGCGTCGGCTCAAAGTTTCAACGTCTCAACTAACCAAGTCTCAGTTGAAAATCTGTCGCGACAGCAAACGCGCGTGCGGCTTAAGCTTTTAATGCTAATTTTTATTGACTGCAACTTGCGATTGTGTGCGTGTGTGTGTTTGTGTGTGCGTAGGTACTGTGTGTGTGCGCTCATGCGCAACTGCTTGCAGCAAAAGGCGCTTAAATTTAGTCACGTTTGCCTTTTGAATCATTGAGAACTCTCTCGAGTGCTACAATTATTGCCAGGTAAGTGTCAAATTCAATTGGCAGCAGCCGCAGCAGCATCATTAAACTCTAAATTGATTCAATAATTTAGCCAGAGTGTAACTAGGTGGCAGCTCTCTAACAGGATAACAAATGAGCTGAACTAGCTCGCAGTTATATTGCCATTCGCTGGGTACGCAGACATCGGTTAGTTAATTTAAATGCAAATATTTCTGCAGTTTCCAAACTGGAGCAATGCACATTGAGAATTTGGTTATTTGATGCCTGGCAGGAAATCAGCATCGAATATCGGATTTAATAAGACAGCTCTGTGAGTTTGATTGAATTGCGGTTAGCACAGTGCGCGAGCGGCACGACAACTGACTGTACTTTGGCAGAGGTGTTGAATATTCGACTTTTATGAGGCAAGCAATACTATAGCAGGTAACCGCAAATACAGGTGAGACAGTTGGGTTAGCTTTACGATATGTTTACCTGGCTTTTTATTGTGCTGTGCTCTTAGCGCATACGGCTGTTGCTGTTTTGATATACGGCCAGGGCTTCAGCGCTTTCGAAAGTTTACTTTCGGCCAAACATTTGCTATCCCCATTTGATTCCCCAAAATGTACTCGCATTTTTCATAAAGCACTGTAGAAAGTAATACGCGAACAGCTCAAGTAGTTTTGCCAGCCGTTTGTGCTACTTATTTGTGGCTATCATGTTCCCGACCTGGCTTTTACCAGGCTGCCACTGCTGGCAGCTGGGCCAAAAGATGAAAGATGCAAGATGAAAGAGAAGTAGCAAGAGATCTGGTCTGCATAACTGCTGCTGGCAGTTCGTGGGTGTAGATGCATTTAGCCTGATAAGCCAGCAACTGCAAGCTCAACTTAGCCAAGTCACGGCACTCACAAACTCAATCTAGGCTAATTCAAATACGATGCACAACCGAAAAGCTAAGACGCGTATGCAATTCATCAGCTGCCTCTTAGGTATTTAAGTAATTTATTAGAGCATCTGTTTGGATATGGATTTGCGCGTGTTCGTTCGCTGGCTGATTGTTGTTTATCCGCATGTTAGCGCCTGGCTGCCAAAAGTTTGCAATGTGCATATTTTCGCATCTCACAAATACACACCTATATGATCATTCCTGTAATTTGCTTCTGTTGCTTCTGTTTACTTGCCCATGAACCTGAGCATTTCTCGTTGATTCCAGCAAAAATTTGGTTTTCTGAAATTGCAACTTTGCAGCTTTGTCACGTGAGACGCGCACTGCTCGGACGATCTAATCTAATCTCCAGCGAGTAGCACGAAGTGAGGATCTGATTGTGGCAGACTCACTAAGATATTTGAGGTATTTTTACCTATTTTTATCGCTCGGCTGTCTACTTTGTATGTGGCATAAAAGCCAAGCTAAGAATATACATAAGTAGATTAGGTGTCTTATCTAAAGAGCCGCCTTACACTTTATTTAGTCAAGTATCCCAGGCAGTAAATATTTTTATAATGATTGCATTAAAACGTAGATCCGGTTGTAACTTGAAATTTTGGCGAATTTCATGAGAATTGAGAACCGCCTTTCACTATTATGATATGTCTAAGATATTTGAGGAGTTCTGTTTGCTTTTCGGATTTCCTTATTTATGCAATGTGATTGAATGCATTTGCCTTGCTTAACTACGAATTTAACACTGCTGAATTTATGGAATCGGTCGAGAATAGAAAGAATAGAACAACTTGTAATAATAATCAAAAATTCACACGACAATAAACTGGCTGTGGGCAGAGCTGAAATTTAGAGATTTGCTTTGATTGTAAATACACAAAATGTAAATATGAAAGACTCGTATTGTCTTTAGACTGTGGTTAAGGTTAACCAGATTTCGTTCGCTTACACGTCGCCCAAAAACAGGAAAACAAAGATTTTTGTTTTGTTTTTGACCTGGGCAAATTGTAACAATATTTAAATATTTGCATATATGAGTGCCCCGTGCTCGTCCACTCGCCCATTAATCCCATAAATTTGTGTTTGTTTTTTTTTTTTTTTTGATGGTGTTTTTGCTTTGGTTCATTTTAACTAAAGACTAAGCTAAACAAAGCACAACAACACGCAAACAACCGCCGATGTGTTGACGTTGACAGCCCAGTTCCGGTAAAGCGTCGCTGAACCCTCTCCGACCAGAAACGAAGGTGACTCGCTGGAGCAAGCCAACCAGCTGGGCTACTGGTCTTACCAACCTGCTACACTCTTGTCCAGCTGACGATCCGCTGATGTCATATCAAATGGTCAATGACTAATCTCACGGCAGAGTTGAACTTTCGGGCAGAGTCATGCGATTTGTTTGTAAACATCAACCAGAAGTGCGCAGACTTATGTAATTAAGCGCACACTCATTGCATGCTAATTGGACTGGCTGAGAGTTATTGACAAAGAGAGCTGATGAGCTATCATACACATCTTCTGGTTGGGGTCTTATTGGCATTTGCATGAGAAGCCAACCAGAAGCAATTAGTTTGTTAGCTGGAAGAGTCCAAATGATTATTATGTTTCTTGAGCTGGTTCACCATTTGGAACTAATGGAATAATCAATCGAAATCAAATGTTCGTTCGTTTGTCTGCCTGTTCGTTTGCTATCAATGTGTTTATTGGTTTATCTATATAACAATAGATATATTTAATTGACATCATTGATATCGTATACTCTTATAAAATATTACGATTTTTCGGGTACACGCCCATGCCCCAAAGGTATGTTAGATTAGCAATTACTATATCTTTCACAATGTCAAAGTTTTAGTTTTTTTTTTTTTTTTTTTTATGAAAATTAAAAAAAAATTAAATATTAAAATTTGTATAGACTAGAATTCTTCCGGTCCACTCAAATAATAAATATTTATACAAAGTAGATACATAATTGTAGGCGTGGCAATTTAAATTAAGCTGAGTTCTCTAAAGTCTTAACTTAGTATAACAAATGTGTTGCCGTTGACCTCCTATATATTGTAGATATACACAATATGTATTCATGGCTATTAGGCTTTATATAATACATACATAAAAATATTCATAAATATTTCTAGACTTTGTCCAGCTAAATATTTCAGCTCAATAAAGCTGATGTTTATTTACAGCTAAACAGTGGGGATTCCCAAACTGAGCAAAGTTGACTAAGAAAGAGTTTCGTCTCTATGGATTATTAAAAAATATGATATTTATGCACTCCTCAAAAACTGATCAAATCAGAATCTATTTATAGCTACATTTCAGATCTAGAATCACCTGGTTTGACAGGTGCAAGTTTATGGCTCCATTTGAATTGGTGCATTTACGAACGAGTCTTATTCATCCAGTTGCCATTGACAGCAGCATTCTCATTTGATTTTCAAGTTGGGCTTCTGGCAGTTGCCTCATAATTTTGCACTTAAAATTTGGTAGCTGCTGTAAAATCTGTGTTTTATCGCTTTGGTTAATGCGTCTTGTTAGCTTTGCAGCCAAATTGATTGAAGTTTTGGTACGCCTAATGATCCAGCGCGTTTAGCACTCAAATTTCAATTGCAGTTGGCTGCTATTAAGCGGCTAAGCTTGAGAATTTAAGGTTTGGCGATCGTTTAACAACATTTTCAATTATACTTATCAAATTGTGCAATTAGTCATGTAACATTATCAAGCTGTGATTGCTGGCCGTGCGCCACACAACAAACAATTGGGGGGATTGGTACGAATGCAAAGCGTGACGACATCATCAGTGCCACTTAGGAGCTTTGGTGATATTCGATATGCGGCAATTAAAATGTAAATGCCGTATAAAATGCAACTCGCTATTTGCCCGTTGGCATGCCAGTTAAAATATGCCACGGCTCAGAATCAAGTCAGCCCCAATATACCAAGAAGCAATTGCATTGCTCATACGCAACGTTGACTTAAGGTTATTGTCAAGCATTTATTGATATCGAAACGTTGAAAATTGACACGTTTCAAGTTTAGCATATTTTTGTAATTGATTCGAAATGATTATTATTATGAGACTACATATTTATTATTATTACTATTCGTATTGTTATTGTTGTACGGCTGTGAGAACGATTTGCATTTAGATACACATTGATACACACCCAGAAATGCCTATAGATTCATTTCAATTTGCCCATTGAGCATATCAAATGACAGCATGACATGTTTTTTCAGTTAGTGGAAGCTGTTAAAATCTAAATTAATTAATGCATTAAACGTGCCTTTGTCTTGTCGCCTTGCAGTCCTCTGTCTGTCCTCTGCTTCTTGCCTATTAAACGCCCACCGTAATTAATAAAAAAAAAAAAGAGAAGAGAGAAAAAAATGCATTTATTAAATTGCATTCAATCGTTTTCAATTTTCGTTTTCAATGGAAGTGCATGCGCCGCCGCTGAATACTTGTGGAAAATGCACTCGACTATCTCGCGTGCCTGTCAACAAATCAGCAAATTGACAAATGACGTCATTGTCGTGTCTCATGGCCCATTGAAAGTGCAAACATACATTTAGCCGGCTGACTAGACGCTCAGGTATTTACGGCGGGCAGTCGTCACTCGCTCATAAGTATGTCGCCATTGAGTGCTCTAATCGCTAGTATAAACACGGATCTCCATCAGCTCGCTGCGGATCAATTGCCTGGCGCGGCGTGACGTCACAGTCGTCTTGCCATTTCATAAATGGAGCTAAGCTGCGACCATCTGAATTGGAATCGAAATCTTTAGGTTTATTTACATTTCAGATGGTGTGAGTTAGTGTCAAATTAACAGTTCACACCTATCTATTTAACAGCTGTTGTCTATATGTTGCTTTAACCGTTAGTGCGACGCTATTTACGTATATGGCAAATACTATACGAAACTAGCTCAGATATGAGATATTGTTGTCTCTTCAATTATGCAACAGCTGATAATTGAACAAGCCGCACAAGAAAACATTAGCGAAGCTAATGGAGATTGACTGACTTGGAAATACCCTGAGCTGTCTACATACATATATTGTACAAATTTAATTTATTTAATTTTTGTTGACTAGCTAA